GGCAGCCGGGCTCTCCTACCTGTGCCAAGCTCGCACCGAGCTGGGTCCTTTTCCTCCGCCGTCAGCATTGTCCTCCTACCTCTCGCACAAACAAGCCCCCGTTCTGCTTACTCGTGGGAAAGTCACAAGGACCTTCCCAATTTAGTCTCCATCACTCGGAAGAACTCCAGCGTCAGCCGTTTCTGACAGTTTGGGGGAAAGTTGCCTTTTTTAGCCCCTCCTGCCCTGCCTTTTCCAGCGGTTTATGCCGCTCCGCACCGCGGAGGTCCGGCTGCGGTGATGGGCCGCCCTGAGTCACGGGGATGCCCGCAGCAGCGAGGCCACCCTGCAGCTTCTCCCCACGCCGGAGAGTCTGCCTTCGTTAACACCAACCATCAACAGTGAAATCTGGACTGGGGAGGGGGTCGGAGGGGCTTGGCCCATGCCCTTGTCCAAGTCTTTTGGGGTGCAACGTGGGGAGAGGGAGCCCGAGCCACAGCCCCGCTCCCCACTTACCAGGATGAAGAGGCACTCATTGGCCAGTTTCTGGTGCTCCTGGATGGTGGAGAAGACCGACAGCACCAGGCAGCTGAAGACGAGGAGGAATCTGGAATGAAAGCATGTCGGCATGGGTGTTGGGGTGGGCTGGGGGGAGCCCAGCCTGCAGCGCTGGCCCCTGCTCACAGCCTGACCCCCCCTAGCCGAGACCCCCACGGCCATGGCTGAGCCCCTGGGGACACGGTTTGGTTCTAGGTGGTGGCATGGAGCAATTCAGGAGCCCGCGAGCAGCTGCTCGTGGGTGCAGAAGCAGGGCTGTGCATAAAGCCTGCCTGTGGCACTGGGATGGGGACCAGCCCCACATGGCACCCACGTGCCAGCCCAGGCTGGGGGCACAGCACATCCCCAGGCTGCCCCGCAGGCACCGAGGAGGAAGAACAGGCTCTGGTGGCCATGAGGCTCAGTGCCAGGCTCGGCCACAGCCCTGCAGCCCCTGCCCAGGCTAAACAACTGCTAATTAAAGGCAGGGAGGGAGATGGGGGGGTCCCGCACTGCAGCAGGGTGCTGCTGCTGCAGAAAGGGGACCAGAACTTCTCCTGACTGCCCCCAGCATTGTGGGGACCTGTCGGGTACATGGGGGCCACCTGGGAAGAGCCAACGCAGGGGAAGAGTTAGCCGGGAGCCGCTCTGGGGCTATGTGTCCCCAAGAGCTGGGTTAAGACACAAGGGGCTTTGGCCCATTTGAAATAAGGAGGGGAAAAAAAAAAAACAAACCAAAAAAACTCTGAAGCTGAAGCAAATGAAACTCCAAAAATACATATTTTTTTTTTTCCCCTGATCCAGCAATTCTAAAAACGGAAAGCAGAGGGCTTGTGCCACCAGCACGTGTGATGGCACGCAAAGGGCCACCGCTCTGCCAAAGCCAGCTCCGTAACAGCACAGGGGCTGTGGGGACCCGCTGGGCACGCGGCCCCACGGACTGTGGGGAGGCACCGCAGCAGCGCTGGGACGGCCAGGCTGAGGCCAGCAGTGCAGGCGAGGTGGCCCTGGCACCCTGTCCCTAAGCTGGTGGGTGTCAATCTCACACCCCCCAGCACCACCTCTCCACAGCGAGCGATGCCTGTGGGACCACCAGTGGGGCTCCAGAGAGCACGGGGGCTTGGCTTGGCTTGGTGAGGTGGCCCTGGCACCCTGTCCCTAAGCTGGTGGGTGTCAATCTCACACCCCCCAGCACCACCTCTCCACAGCGAGCGATGCCTGTGGGACCACCAGTGGGGCTCCAGAGAGCACGGGGGCTTGGCTTGGCTTGGTGCTGCCCAACACCCCCATGCCCCAGTACAGGCTGGGGGCTGACCTGCTGGGAAGCGACAGCACTAGGGGCAACGGGTGCAAACTGAAACATAAGAGGTTTCAGTTGAATATGAGG